TTGAGCATGTCCAATTGTTGGGGATCGAGAAGGTCCAGACCATACAAGATGTCCTGAGGAGGAAGGACATCCCAGCACGCACTCCGGCGCTGACGAGCTCGTTGCGAGAAGCGTGCACACCCTGCAAAAATCTCCAGCAATGTCCAAGCCTTCACCTGAGCCGACTTGGCATCGAGGACATCAAACACCTTGGCATGAGTGAGAAGAGCCTTTTGCACACCCTGTTGAATGGTCCGGCGTTGGCGTCGGTTCAAGGTGTGCTTCCCCACGCCGGCAGCGTACTCCTCCATGCCAACCGTCTCATCCGCTGACAGGCCACCCTCGGGATCCTCAGTCTTATAGTCCGGTGCCACCTGGAGAGCATCCACCATCTCCTCATAGTCTTCAACCTTCTCGCTGAGCACCAGGTCGATCCGGTCTTGTCGGCGTGCCTTCATTTCTGCCGTTTCCAAGCCATCCTGATCTACTGAGCCAGCCATGCCACCTTCGGAGAGTAGCATAGTTGTCGGGCGGACCCCAGATGTCCCCACAAGCTGGCGATGTGGTTGCCGTGCATCTTCATGATCCACCTTGGATTGCGCTTCCAACGGCGCTTCTCGATTTCCACCGCCAGTTTGACTCGTAGCATGAGCAACAGCAGCTTCCATTTGAAGGTGAATGTCTGGGCCCGCAGGCTGATCATCAGGTTCATCGTGGGATCGTCCGAGAACTGGGTCGACAGGGATGGAAAGGGCGCTTCGTCCCCAGTGAGCGCGGCGGTTCTGACCGCCCTGGGTGTCTTCTTCACCTTGTCTTTGGCCGGCACTGGCTCTTTGCTCCGGCCACGATGACGTGCCCCTGCCTCGATCTCTGGCTCTTGTTCCTTGTTCAGGTTCTGTGCCATCAGCTCTTGCATCTTCATCATCATCGCCTGCATCTGAGCCATGCTCATCTGGGTCATGTCCATCTGGGCTGTCGAGCTCGAAGCACCCCGAGTCGGTTCTGTCTCCTTGGTGTCCCGAGCCTTGTTCATCTTGCCCATGGGTTTGCGCCCCGGAGGACTGGGTGATGTCGGGCTCCTCCGCAACATGCGATTCAAAGACTGCCGCTTCACCGTCCTCATCGGCGTTCTCACCTGAGCCAAGCCCGTAGGATCCTCCTCTTGGGCGGACATCTCTTCCAGTTCGTTGTCCTGTCCCACGTGTTCCCATTCCTGCTGGCTGAGCTCGTAGGCTTCCGGCTGCTCGCTCACAGGCTGCCGTCTGCGCTCGGCCATGTGCTTCCGGGAGCGAGTCCGATGGGGTCAGGTCGTCCTGGTCCCAATCCCGAATTGCTGAGCCCCGCGGATCGGACAAAACAACGATCTCCTTGTGGTCTTGCATGACAAAATCCGACGAGATCGATCTCTTCGATATCTCTCCAAAGTCATTTATCGGGATGACATAGTGGCCTCCTCTTGACTGTCCCAGGCCATAGCCCTTCACCCCAAATCGTCTCGAAGAAACGGAGTGAGAAGCCGTATCAATGACCAACCCCAACGCAGAACAGACCGGCTTGGAGAGCAATGGTGGACAAGTACCATGGACTACCGAGATTCGAAGGATGCCGTGAATGCCAGCAAGTGCCACCTCCAACAACACCGCAAACTTGCTCTGGACCACTTGACCATCCCCGAAACGAAATTGTTCTTCCTCGGGGACCACCTTGATGAACCAGTTGTTCTCCTTCCATTCCTTCACGATTCGATTGGTCCATGTAGTCCCGGCCACCGTTCTCATACACCCCAAGTCCACTATCATCTTCGAGTGTTCTTGTCCGGCCAACTCATCAAGAGCCCAAAAAATCTCATGAGTCCCTGCATCATCAGGCCCCCCCCCGCCACTGTGCACCATATACACTCCAGCAGAAGCTAAAGTCTCCAACAAAGACCAGTCTTCATGCTGTGGCTGTGACGAGGGAAAAGTCACATTTGCAGAATGTACCATCGGCTTCTCTTTGCGACGGTATGGGCACTCTTGGCTCCAATGTCCTAACTGGTGGCAGATGAAGCATGGTTCCTTCTTCTGCTGTTCTGCCACCCACTTCTTCACGTGCTCACTGCGAGCTGCCGCCGGCCCACCAGGTGCATCCTTTTGGAAGTACTGTCTCATCTTCTTGATCTCTCGCACCCGGTTCCTGGCCTTATACTCCTGGGCATAGATCTCTGCCAAGGGTGATGCCGATGGAGGACTCTCTGATGTAGTGGCTGCCACAAAAGCCTCATTTGGCACCCCATTGAACTCTGTCATATCGGCCACTTGATCTGATCGGGCCTCTTCGTCATCCATGGACTCTTCACCCATGAAGTCCAACAACTCTTCGGCCCCCACCTCGCCATCTTCTTCATCTTCCAGGATGGCTACCAGGGCATCCCGAATGCGGCCACGGCGAAAACGACCAAAATTACCTCCACCACGCCCCCGTGGAAAAGGGCGTCGCCGGGCTTCTGGACCAAATATTGGTCTTCATTGTCCAGTTGAGGCTCACCCCGACCAATAGGACAATGTGGAGCGCCTTCGAACTGTTCCGCCAGTTCAAGCATCGCGGAAATGACCTTAGTCTCGTCTTCGACATCTCCACCACAAGCTGCCTTCAGAAGAGCGAGGTCCTTGCGGGTCAACTTGCAGCTATCCAGCAAGTGTCCAACATAGAAACAGGATCCGACCCTGTAGGCAGGGGATGCCTCATTCTCCCGCCGGTAAATCTCGGCCCGGTTGATGAAGCTCTCAATGCTCTCATTGGCCAACCGAGTCAACTTCATGAACTTCTGCCGACGTTTGTCGATCTTCTTGTTGTCAAGGAGCCTGATTATGGGAGATTTCTCCATCTCAAGTTTGATCAGTTCCACTCCCTGTTCTGAAGTGACCTGCTCAACCGTCAAATGTTGGACAATCTTGCCGGCTCTCTCCCGTAGCTGCTGCATCAACCGCGGGCCCCTCATCTCCACCGGCAGTGACTTGCCTTCTGAAGCCAGCCAGAAGGTCACCGTCCTCCAATACTGCTCCCAACTTTCACCTGGTCGGGCATAGAAAATCGGTGGGTAGGTCGTGGAGATCTTACCCGTAGTTGAACCCTCCTTCAACGAACCACTCATGCCGGCTCCACCTGACCCACCTGCCACAGACGGTTGTCCTGAAGGGATGTTGCCTGTGGGCTTGTTCCATTCACCGGCTGGAGGTGCTGCAGGAGACATGGGCGACACCTCTCCTGGTCTCGCCTCTTCACTGCCATATTGCTGAGGACTCCCATGGCATACCCGAGCACCTTCGCCTTGTTCCGCAGATAGTCCCACTGGCATAGGCCGCCGCGCCGATGACCAGTCACCTGCAGGTACTCCGGCACCTCGTTCATGTCCAGCGTGAAGTGCGCTCGAAGTCCAATCGCGACCGTCCTCAGCACCTCTAGCATGAGGTTCACATTCTTCTCTTGCCGTTCTCCATGAAGTCGATGACCATCCACTGGTACTTGACCTTTCCGAATCAGTCTCCCAATTTCTGGCAGGTCCATCCCGCCAGCCCCAATGATTTGGTCCTGCATTCCCGGACCACTCTGATTCTGAAGACCATGACCAGTGGCTCCCACTATCAGCTTCATGAGAACCGTCCCATTGCGACTGACTCCAACCACCGTCAGCCCAATACACCTGCCGGGTGTCATGTCTCTCATCTCCTCGAACCCACTGCCAAGATCCTTCCGATGCGTCTCGTTGAGAGGCACTCATTGAAGAGCTCGGAGAAGACCAGTTGTCATACTTGGGCTCATAGTTCTCCTGACCGCGCTGCCATGGATCATCATGCAGCCACGGGTCACTCTCTTGGCTTTGGTTCGAGCTCTCACCATCTTGACGTGGACCACTCTCTCTCTCTGTCCCACCGCTCGCTGTCCGCCAGGATCTCGGGGTCCCCGCTTCAGCTGTTTCCCTTCTTGTCGGTGGGCTCGTCATCCGCAGGCTCCGGTGTAATCCACGACGGTGACGATGTAGAAACACCGGCAGCGGCAGCTCCTCCGTCGAAGGCGAGGAGCTCTCCTCTGGCGTCACGGCGCCCAAAGCAGCATCAGCCTCCATGGCTCAAGCCTAGCCTTGCTACGGCCACCTACAGCCCCTTTTCGGGGCTCCGCTACCACTGAAAAAGCACGACGGCCCACCTTTTTCCGAGTGCCGCCTTGGGCCGTGACCGGCTGAAACCGACAATTATATAGCGCGGTGCATTCAGGATGTTTCAAAGCTAGTGAGTGGGCAATTTAGATGTTACCTCCCAGCTGTCGATCCTCCTCCAGGGCCTTCGTTCCAGACGATGTATGTGGGGGAACCGCTGTTTGTGCATTTCGTTTCAGCGGTGTCTGCAGCACCCGGTGGCCTATAGCAATGTACAAGGACTCTTTTGGTAAGTCTTCACCACCCAACGAAGACCATGCCGGAGAATGTGCGAATCCTGCCCTATGCAAAAAGAACTCACGAGGCCAAAAAGTCAATTAGAAAAAATAACCCAAACGCTTAACAGTTAAGTTAGAGTTTTAAACATCCAGCCCAACATGCTCAACAACAAAAGCTCGTCATTGATCCCCCCAACCCCCGCCCAAACCCACCCATCTTCCAAAGTGAGTGTGCGTGTGTGCATGCAACTTCATCTTAGATGCACTTGCCATCGAACGTCATTAACCCCCCATCCAACCCACATCTATACGTTGATAATGTTGTACCACCAACGGCAAAACATGTGCAAAACCTTTGCAAAACCACAAAACATGTACTTTGCGGAGTTATAAAGCTCTCACCAGTGGCCCTGCGGGCACTTCTCACTTCTACGCCTCAAATAATGTGCAAAAAAGTACACAAAAAGTGACAGTTGCACGCTCCGAGAGGCACTCCCACCAAAAACATGGCCCACACCCACACCCCAACACTAGCAAACAACTCCAGGGTGTTCTTCAGGATTTGATTGGGTACGTTTCTTATTGTAAACTCTTTGACTCCAAGCTGCTTCGCGACCATGCGCGTGGCGACCTGCTCCTCAGAACCGGGCCGTTTCACAGCTCTGGTCCAAAGTTTTGCAGCTGTCCCTCGGGTTTGAACTAAGGCAAAGATTCTTCAAACTCTTGAATCTGTTTGAGTATGTTTGAGTCATTGTTGAAAGCTTGTCAGCTTTGGCTTAGGTGTTGGTACCCCTCTAGACTCTAGAATCACTCTTCCAGCTATAACTATTTCTAGCTCTGCCAGTATAGCAAGAAAGAGTGCACCTATGCACCTGCCTCCACCCAGTATTTCTACACGGAATGGTCCAATCATGGAAGAAATGCCGCACCACCAAGTTCAATTCCCAAAAAGAAAAACAACAACAAAAGCACCGTGGCTTTCCCAAGGTTCATCCCTTTCCGTCGTCTCTCGATGCCTCCCCTGGGCCACCCCACAGGGGTCTCTTGAAACGCCACCTGATGTGCATCGAAGACCCGCGCGCGCCCCAGGTGCTGACGCCAAACGAGGGTTGCGTAGCTACCTGGACCCGTTCTGGCGAGGAGGCGGTGGCTACGGCGGAGTCCGGTTCACTCCGGGAAAGCGGGAGTGGCACCGGGTCTCCAGTGCCATGAAGAGTCACATTCCTCATCATTCCTCTACCAGGACACCCTAAGGGGTGTCTATTGATAGCCCCTTAGAGGTTAAGGGGTGTCCATTAACTACCCCTTGTGGGTCCTAGTAGTTATCTTTGACTCGTGATGATCTCGCTGATCTTGGATTTGATGTCGAAGCTGCGGAAATAGGTCATCGCAACACCAGGTTAACAGCCCCCAGGAGCATCCCGCGCGTGGACTGTACAACCCCTTCATACGGGAAGTTGACATACCTAGAAGATCCTTTGGGCAGAAATTCTTGCCTTTTTCGGGAAGAGCGGCTCTTCCCGTCCTGGGGCGGAAATCAGCTGTTTGCCGCGGAAATGTTTTTGTTGCCGCGAATATTCCCTTTCAGGAATCCAGTGAGACAAAGACTACATATTCTAGAGGAGTTGAATATTTTTGTGGTTTACATTGGGCATTTCTGCCTGGAACGGTCACCGCAATGAGAAAAAACAATTTGCAGCGCTTAAGTTTCCACCTCCACCTGCAAATCTGGCTACCATCATATCATATATTATGTGTCTTTGTTTTTGAAGGTTTCTTGTGCGGAATGATCACAAAAGGACTAAAATCAGTCCAAAGTTGAAAACACCTGGCGCGAAAATGCCCGGGAAAAAGGCAGAAATACCCGGGAAAGAGGCGGAAATACCCGGGAAAACGGCGGAAATACCCGGGAAACCGGCGGAAATTTCCTGGTAGAAGGCGGGATTCAAGAACAGTGCCTTTGATGCCTTGAAGGGCTTGAACATATGTCGCAGCCTCTTTGTGAATGTCATGAATTTAGAAGTGTCAAAATCGTAGGGTGTCAGATCTTGAGATGTGAAGCTATGCAGAACGATATGTGGTCTGCAATCATGGAAGAGACAACCTGGTAGGTTGTAATGGTTTTTGAGTTGCTATGTTGGATTTTGCTTGAGGCAAAAATTCCCTGCTGCCCGCGGAAATTCCTACCTGGCGCGGATTTCCCCTAAATCCGCGAATCCTCCCGGGCAAATCGGACTGAGGCAGAAATTTCTGCCCCAGGTGCTTCTAGGTATAATCCAAGGGGCATCGAAGGAATATATACCAGCAGTCACAAAGGGGTGCGATCCATGGAGGTTAGGGGTGCCCATTATCCACTCACTTGGGGATCAAACACCACCCCTTTGTGACTCCTGGTAGATGTTCTTTGGGTATGTCTCATTTCCAGGGCCCGGTGGATGATGATGGTGAGGTTGCAGGCCGACATCTGTGATGTTCTCTGTTGCCGACTGTGACAGGTTCTCTGGGACAACTCTATGCAACAACAAGAAAAGCATCCCTCCGAGATCGCTGGGACTGCTCGATGTCCTAGATTGACTTCAAGAGCTGAGTATCGCATCCGACCATTACAGGCTCAAGTAGCCTGAAGTGACGGGATATGCTGAAGGAAAAAAGGGGCAATGGTCCACAAAATAGGATCAAATAGACTACTGCGTGCTATTTATGTTTTGCTTAATGTTTCTAGGCGCTGTCTGTAACTGTTTCTATTATATATATAATTATATAATATATATATATATATTTTTTTGTGCATGTGTGTTCTTTCATTGTTGCTTTTTCTTGGTGACTTAGTGGCTTCAAACAACAATTTCGCCCCTGTGTTGCGTCAAGTGTGTGATATATAAGTGACCCTGAGATAGAGAACTGTTTGGCATCGATGGGGATCTGATCAAACCAAGACGTAAGACTGAGTCAACATTTGGGAAGTGATCTACTCAATGATGCTTGGGGGCGTAGATCTCTTGGCTCACATGGATCATGCTAGCTTTTACCAACCAAAGCCCATATGGACCAACCATGACCAACCGGTTCTCTTTGGGTTGGACCGTGCGCAAGGCTTTGACCCACAGTAAAAGGTCCTGTTTGATGTTCGAGAACCTCCCAACATCAGTGCAGGTCCAAAAATCCCAAATGTTCTGAGACTACCTGGCAGGGTGCCAAACCTGCAATTCCTACTCAGGCCAGGCTTCCCACACGTCCATCAAGCTGAGACAGACCGATCCCCTATTCCCACCCCCTCATCCCCACAGAAAGGGACAGCAACTCAGCAACTCATCAGCTACAAGTTGCCTGCGGAAGACAGAGCAGGCTGCGGCCGCATGGGCTGCAACGGAGACAAAGCAACCTGAAGATCTGCCTCGGCGGGTCTGACCCGGAGACTTGGTGAGTGGGCTGCTGATTGGCCAAAGGAACAATCAAGCTTCAACTGGAATCTTTGGAGCTGGTGAACTAAAGCGTTTCTACTAAGCTTTTAGTGGAAAGGCATCCAGTACATGTGCCAGTGCTAATATATTAACATAGAACACCGGATAAACACCGTGGCTCGTCATCATTGCAACACTGTCGCCACGCAGAGCGCCCATCTGTCTCCGTCCTTCCGCTCCCGTCCAAGCTGCAGAAGCTCCGGGATCCTTCAGTTGAACGCTTAAGAATTGCCCCGGCTGCAACAGCTCGCTGCACCTCAAAAACTGTTTTTTCTGCTCACAGAGCGGGCAAACGGGTATCGTAAGACGCGTCACGTAAATGGCCTTAGAAGGGATGCATGAAGAGGAGGACGTACAATCCATTACGATCCAAAAACATCCATGAGACTGAAATATTGGCCATGGATGGCTGGATTGTACTGACAAAGGTCTTGATTGAGGGTCAATGGAAAATTTTCTGCAAATAGTCCCGTGGATGGTCAAAAATCACCGGAGGTCGATCCAGGTCAACATGAGTTTCAAGATCGATGCTGTCGTGTCAAAGACCAAGTCAGTCGGGTTGACTGAAATGATCGTCTCAGGTATACCTGGGGCCAATTTGACCTCTGCTTTGATGAGAAAAACTCTGTGTTTGATGGTTGGTTCAAAATGGAGGTTGCCATTTCACCAGCTGGGCTGGTTCTAGTACTGCAAGGGAAAGCATGTTTAAACTTGTGGCCCAAGGGGGGGTGGCGAAAACTAGGGAAAGCAAAGCAGGTTTAAACATTTTTGAACGAAGTCTGAAGGTCATTATCTAGTGGGACTTTTGCAATTCACCAACACCTGGTGGTCAGTCCCCTCTGCAGCTCTGAACCTCGCACTCACTTCCAAGTGGCTATTGTATATGTAATTGTCCACACCGGATTAATCAACCCCCCCTCCCACTTCAAGGTCAAGTCAACATGTTTTGAGATTGGAGGTGTTTGAGACCAAATACCCCCAATATATAAAGGTAATGATTTGATGATGGATGATGAGGTGATGACCTGAACCATGATTGCATATCCCTTTTGCTACTGGATACCGATGTTCAACCCCAATGTTTTAGCTAAATATTGGTTATCTAAAATGCTTTATCAGATAGCTCAGACTGACATTAAATAACACGGATTACCGTCTCAAACATTTATAGTGTGTTTCCAAACTGGCTAATGTTGACAAGTTTGCAAATCTGTCGCTGCCAACCATCTTAATTCGTTTTAACAAAAACCTTTTCAGATGACCTTAAGCCTTAAACAAAACGGGTCAAATAACATGGTTTTTCCATGGTCGAGCACACTCATTTTAGACAGCCGGTGGCAACGGGGATGATTGCAGGATAAATATTCTGGTCGACAAGCCGGTTGCATTTGCCTGCGCTGACTGAAGCAACCTGACGAGCAGCATTCTTGTCAGCTCCAGCCTGCAGCAACAACTCCACCACTTCCAAGTGGCCATTCTGAGCCGCAATTGCGATTGCCACATTCGCGTCAGCCCCAGCCTCGATCAACAGTCGCACCACTTCCAAATGGCCGCGGTCTGCAGCAACGATCAAGGCGGTTGCCCCACTTGTGGCTGCTGCAACAACCGTACCACTTCCAAGTGGCCATTGCCAGCTGCAATACACAAGGCCGTTGCCCCATTTGCCTTGGCTGCATTCTTGTCAGTTCCAGTCTGTCCAGCAACTGCCAGCTGCAGCAAATAAGGCAGGTGCGCTGTCTACGTTGCTTACGCTAAAACGCTCTTTACACTAGTTACGCTGCTTACGCTGATTACACTGGCCACGCTGGTTGCACTGTCTACGCTGTTTACGCTGGTTACGCTGAAACGCTCTTTACGCTAGTTACGTACGCTGTTTACACCGATTACACCGGTTAAGCTGTTTACGCTAGTTGCGCTGTTTACACTGGTTACGCTGAAACGCTCTGCATGCTAGTTACGCTGCTTACGCTGGTTACACTGATTACCATTACTATGATGCATGATGACCATTGAAGCGCTCCCCACTTCCAAGTGGTCATTGAAAGTTGCAGCCATCAAGGCGGTTGCCCCATCTGTGTCCGCTGCATTCTTGTCAGTGCCAGCCTCGAGTAACAATCGCACCACTTCCAACTGGCCATCGCAAGCTGCATGCATCAAGGCATTTACCACATGCTTGTCGGCTGCATTTGTGTCAGCTCCAGCCTCCAGCAACAACTGCGCCACTTCCAACTGGCAAGACAAAACTGCAGCAATCAAGGCAGTTACCCCCATCTGCGTCGGCTGCATTTGTCCAAGCTCCAGCCTCCAGCAACAACTGCACCACTTCCAACTGGCAAGACCAAACTGCAACAATCAAGGCAGTTGCCCCATTTGCTTTGGCTGCATTTGTGTCAGCTCCAGCCTCCAGTAGCAACTGCACCAAATCCAAATGGCCAATGTGTACAGCAACCAAAAATGGAGAAAGGTCACCTGCTGCATTTGCCCCGTTGGGGTCCAGTGGTTTCCGAAGCAAACTTGTGAGTTCAACAGCCCGATTCTCCTCACATGCAAGGAGCAATGCCTCCACAACCTCCTCAGGCGCGCAACATCCAGGATTACCAACTGCAATTTTTGCAGTTGTCTGACAAGCATGTCATCCTGCAACTCGCCCATGTCTTCACTCACAAGTCTGAGTCGGAAATCTTGAGTATCCAACCCGTCCGACCAGGAGCTTCTTCAAGTCCACAACGTGTTTTCCGCTTTCCACCCTCCAACCCAGTTCCTCCTCATGAAGCTGGAGGCCCAGTGGCACCTGAGAGTGTTCTAATCTCCCATTGTTCAAACAGTAGATGATGTGATGGTTCTTGATCAAAAATGGTTTCGCTGCCACACCACCACCTCTCTCTCTCTCTCTCTTTCTCTATTTCTCTGGCAGCAAGAGTAAACGAAAAACACTGCACCATCCCAGGCGCCGTCTACGCCGTCTACGCCGCCACGTGTTTGGATCTACCGCGCGCGTTGCGGATCGGATCGCATGGCCCGAAGACTTGGTGCCATCCTCTTCAAATCCCTAGAGATCCGTACCTTCACCTCAGGTTTTTTTTGTGATGTGTTCGACACTGTGACATGTCGGTGCCCCAAACGTCGGGTCCCTTTTCGTAGCAACGGCCGGTCACCATGAGCGGGACGGACCAACATCGCCATGGCACGGCGGTCTCGTCGTTAGGTTCAAGTAAGCCCAAAGCTCCTTGCTGTGGCGCGTTCGACGCGACATGGCAAGGCGTTCGACGTGGCAGGCGTTCGGCTGACGGGGTGACTGAACAAACCTCTCTAGACTAGCGAGGGAGAAGGATGGAAGTGTAGGCTGTCAACTTGCAAAACAAGGGATAGCCTGGATAGGCCTGGATAAGTTCAAATTCAGCTAATAATACATTACATGTCATGTTGATACAACGGCCAGCAGCTAGAATTTCTTTAATTTCAGAAACACACATTCATCAACATTTCAGCAACAGCACCTCGTTGACATGGAACTGGCAAACCGCGCTCATATAACTATTATAACTATAGTAACTATATGTAACATCCCCCTTGACTGGGGCAACATCCTGCCAGAACTCCATCTTATAGAGAATACCGTCTATAAAATGATATGACCATCATATTTCTCTATAACATGAAGAACCAACCTTTCTATAACATGGGTAGCCATGTCCAGGCCCATCCACGACAAAGAGGTTAGAGGCCAAGCCCTTGAGTTGATATATATATATCGTTTGAAGCAGCTGACTTCTATAAAATGACTTTGCCACAGCAGGTTTGGTCAGCGTATGCTTCACTTTTCATGTTTTATCTCTGTCCTTTCTGTTCGTCGCTCCTGCAGTCTTCTTCTTAGAACCATCCATATTTTTGTGTTTTTTTTATTGTTAGTTTTTTCTTAACAAAATATAACAAAATGTTCTCCAGTCTGATTTGTCCAGGCTTGCGTCTTCGAGCCAGCGAAACAATATCACTCAAAGCAGGCAACTGTTTTGAGCATTTTTTCTAAGACATCTGTGTAAAACCATATGCCTGAATGAGAGGCATTCATCTGCCGACACGTGTCTCTCTTATAACATGCATTGCCTCTCTCTGTCATGGTCCTTTCCACCAATCCCCCCCCTCTACTCTATGAAATGATGTTGCCTCCTCTTATGTCCGTTATCGGAACGGACCATTTCTATAAAGTGAACCTCCTTATCCCATTTCATAGTGGAAACAGATGCTCATTTTATAGAGGACCAATCACGGGGGATTATGTAACTATACTTATTGCCACTGTTTGAAGCGAAGCAACGCAAGGAAAGCGAACATAAAAGGCCCTCAAGCAACTCTCCTGGTGTTCGACTGCCACTTCATCGACTGCGCACATAACCTCTGAGGAATTTTGAGTCTCTTTTCATAGAATGAGTAACGGACTGAGTGAGGTACCCTTGACACATGCAAACAGCAAGAAACATGAAGAATTATTAACATACAGTAAACAAATCCTCTATTGGATCCGACATACCTCCACTCTCATCGCAAAAGATCCAAAAGGTGACAAGTATCACTCGCCCCGTTACATGAAAATTGAATGATCATGAATCATGAACCCTTGAAAGAGTCATTCACTTCCTCTGCAAAATTTAGGGTCTGTGGTGCTCCATCTTGCCACACCTCAGCGTTCCTCGGTGAGCAAAAGCGGACTCCTCCGCGGGCAGCGTCGCAGCAATCGGCGAGAGCTCAAGCTGCAGGTCGTCAGAGTCCCGAGAGCCTGGCTGAAACACTGAAACCAGTACGACATGAAAAAGCCAAGTGAACAAACATTCACGCATGTTGTGGACCAACAGCCAAGCCGTCCCACGATTCCCCTCCTGGCTTGCTGGGGGAAAGAACCTTCATCATCCACTCGTGGCAAGCATGAAAAGAGCTGTAGAGAGCACTGACCCACAGGGACCAACACAACTTGGTTGGATTCATTCTAGTTCGCATGTCTTCGGTGCCTTGCACCGGCGCCTGTGGGCTCCCAGAAGAAGCGTAGGGTGGCCTTGGTCGCCTCCACATGAGTCACTTCGCTGCGGAGATGCTGAGCCTCAGCAGCCATAACCGGAGGCAGGCAAGCAGCTGCAGTCATATTAGTGGTGTTTAAGAAGGAGAGCCGTCAATCATGGGTCATGTCGATAGATTCAGCTTTTTGGTGTCCAAGTGGTAGGACGGGCCGCCGTGTGCATATAGTTATAACAGTTCTAGCCGTATTTAATAGTTCTAGCATGTTCTAGCCGTCTGTTGAACTGCAACTACTATGCCGCTATGCCATGATCCACGATAGAACCCTGAGACGCCAATGCGGCTCCGAGCGTCTGCAATGCCACACAGGCAATACGGAAGAGGCTCGGCATCCATCCAATTCCTCAAGCGACAGGAGGGGCAGCCCCTCCCGAGACTGCCCTCTCTATGAAAAGGAGAAGCTGGGGGCCTCTAGCTGGATTGTCAGGGAGACATTTCATCTGAGGCACCCTACCTCGAAGCTACACCACACTTCAGCCAAGTGAGTCACACATCACACATCACATCGCGAATCCAATGAACAAACGAACATAGTGCTTGATCACGACTCGACAGGTATAGTAGTGACTACATCGCTTCTGCGCATGCAACAGCCCCCCAGGTCCCCCAACTGAACGGAGCAAGCCGCACCTGTTGTCACGTATAAAACTCCTGGAGGTGCCACTTCCCAATTCAGAAGTCGAGCCATTGAGTTAATAGCTTAAACCCTTCAGGAACCCCAAACAACCATTGTACTACGGGTTTTACACTACGATCAACCATGTAAAAAATGGTCTGAGATGGTCTGAGACTTCGGAATTCGCTGTATCATGCTGTATCAATTCCCCACATCCATCCTAGTCGTGCCTTCCAAGGCCTGCCGGGAGCCCACAAAGAGGGTCCGCCGGTGTTTTGCTTCGAAAGCACTTCCCCCAGTCGACCATGGCGACCCCGACCGCGACTGGACCCAACTCGGTCCGATCTGCGGACCCTTGGAGCATCCGAACTAGGTACGCCGAACGCCTGGGCCAGGCGGTGCAGGTGAGAGACCAGGCGGTGCAGACTGGTCAGAGGTGCAGACTGGTCAGAAGAGATACACGCGAGAGGTCCCGACTCACGAACTGAACTGGTCACACCATGAATGAGGGCGCCGAGTCTCCAATCATCCTTCCGACCCTCTTTGGGAGGCCAATCGAGCCTCAGGCGCATCCCGAAATGTCGCGCTGGCGGCCGCTGTTTTGCATGTGGGACAGGACAGGTAGAGTCACCCCAGTCCCTTCAATGTCTTGGAAATGGTTTGGTATGTCTTGCCATGTGCTCACATATATCGTCCTGTACTCTTACTCCTCTCACGGTACCACGCTCACGTCTCCTGTGCAACTCTCTCTGGAGCCAAGCATTTGTCCAAAATACCGTGGCCCCCAAAAAATGTTCTGGGCCAGAAGGCAGTGGTGCATGTCTGCAGTTGGCCGATGACACAAACGTTTGAAATAGTGCTGTCAACCAGGACTCTCCAGTAGTGAAATCCAAACAAAAACGTGTTTCATCTGGTCCTGATCAGGACGTGGCACTTCTTCCCAACCAACCTCCAGTGATGTCTTACCCTCTTTGGGGGGGGGGACTCTTCACCCTCAGCCCCCGCCAGTGTGCCGCTGTGCCACTCGGGATATCTGCGTGAGTGTGGTGCACGCTGCAGAGCACCGCGGCCTAGGTGGTCTGGACGGAATCCACGTCCAGACCACACCGCGCGACTGGATGCGACTAGTGACTAGGTGGTGAAAGTCAGTACTCATCCACCTGAACATCTTAGAATGATTTGTGCTATCTGCCATCTACTCAAGGTCAAGATCACTGAGGAAGTCAGGTCCCGTGTTGCTTTGGGAGGCTAACAGTCTGAGTGAAAACGTAGTAGTCGGACATCTCCGGACTCTATTTCCTGCTCGAAGCCCCGCTACTGTTAGCAGAAGCTCGGTGCGCCTCTCGGCCAACGAAGCTCGAAGCTGCCGAGCCGACCCCGAAAGAAACGCCCCGTAGCTCGCTGGAGAGCAATGAAGGTGAAGGATCAGGGCCCTACAGTGATCCCCTTTGTGTTCAGGGAAAAATGTCTTGCAAGGGTCTGGAGCAGCGCACGCTCATCATGAGCGTGTTGGGAAAGGACGCCCTGCAAAAGAACACATGACACCAACCGACCGCGATGACCAAATGTTGTTTGCATTGGCCCTCCTTCTGGTGGTGCACAACCTGGAAGTCAAAAGTAGAATCTTAGAACAGCCTCCAGTTTCTGCAGGGCCCTGCTCTTCCCATAATGCTTGGCCCGCCCAAAAACAGCCCCACCCTGAGACAACCTAAACCCACGAAGCGACGCAGCAACCGGTCACATAAGCCACTTCCGCCACCCGCCACCCGCCGAGTCAAGGACCTTGAGTGGGAGCATCTAAGAGCTGCAACGTGAGCTGCTCCCCCTCAGCCGCATCCGGTGCTACGCCGCCGATGCCGCGGTGCGTCTGCTTGGCTCTCCGCTGTTAAGGCCTTCCAAGACACTCGTACCCAATGTTTCTTCCTGAACTATCCTAAACTCCAAAATGGTCTTTACTTGGATCGGCTATGGCTCAAACATGAGATGTGCCGAGCAGGGTGCCCCCAAGAACTTCCTGGTAGATGGGATCATCGGACGCTAAAAAGCTGAAAAACATGTAGGCTGCTGGAGACCCTGGGTCTGAACTTGAGGGGCATCCATTACTTGCAAAATCAGTGCCCTCCAACAGCTGCGCTGCGCCGCTCTGTAGTTGATCTGCGAGCAGCTCCTGGAATCACTCGCACCTGAACTTCATCGCCCTCCTGCAGCCTTGCCGCGGACGACGTAGTCGGATTCGTGTCAACCAGGGCTTTGGAGGGACTTTGAGCTGCCCAGTCCACCCCGCATACAACATAGGCCAACCCCAACTGCACAAAAGTGCAAAGAAAGCTTGAGGTGGTTTTGCTTCAGTGCCGGCTATTAAACAATTTAAGGTATAGTATGGTCTAGCTATTGTCGTACTGTGTGCCGCTTCAACCATTAGCCCTGTACACCCAGTATGCCACATAAGCAAAAAGAACCTGCTTCCACCTGCTTGCAGGCTTGCCGATGGGTGGCAGCCTTAATGAGTCCATGTGGTATTGAGTGGGCAAAATGTGCCCACACCTGACTCTACTTATCTCTTTCATTCAATTCCCATGCCCTCCCAGTGGAGGAGAGCTTGGACCCCAGTCCTCTTTGACTTCACAGTAGGGGAGACCTTCGCTGAGCTTGCCATCAACTGCCACTTCAACTGCCCATCTCCAATGGCCGGTGCCTGGCAATCTTCATCTGTTCAGCCTGCCACTGCTGAGGCAACCGACGGCCGGGACGAGTGGCATCCCAGCACCCGAGCAGGTGATAGAGCCGATAGAACGTACGGCGGTGATATATGATGTAGAAAGTTGGACAGGTCATGTTGCGACATCTAAGATCATTATAAGAGATGCCAGCGGTGCTGCACTAGGAGGCACAAAGGGGAAGGCTCCAAAAGAGGACACCTGAACAGCTTGCGCTTCTAGATCCAGCATGAATCCAATATGATATGCCATGAGCCCCTTCATAACTCACTTCACAAGAGACATAACGCCCGAAAAACATGAGACCCCATGGACCAGTGCAACTGTGGCTGTCATCCGCATTGGGCAGCAGGGTCCCACCTGATATTCTGCCTGCACGGACCTCTTTTGTTTAGCCTTTGCAACACGTTTTCCAAGCACTTACACTGCTTGCATGGCTGAAATCGCTCACTGGCTGGGAAAATCAGTTATCTTGCATATCAAAATTGTCTAAAAGGAATCATTCCGCAAAGAAATTTCAAGGAGAATCACCCACTGTGCAGGGCCCTGCGTCAAAGCCATGCCCTTATGTCCTTGAATTCAATGGCTCTCCGGAACTGGGGATGCGGATGGCTCGGCTGGTTGCTCGGCTCGGCTGGTTCCACCCCTCTCATGGCGCGAAAAGCCTTCAGTCTCCCGCAGAAGGGTGAAAGCTTGCGCTGGCCTGGCACATGTGGCGACTTCCGAGACGATCACTCGGTCGGTTGAAAGGACACTCCTCAAGGAAACTGCATGAACCGACTCCCTCAACCTCCTTGGACCATCAACTGTTTAAGTTCACGGGTCTTCCCATACTAGTACCCACAAGGTCGGCTCGCCGGTCCACAAACTCCGAACTCCAAGACTGTGGGACCCAGTCTCCAGTCGCCCCAGCCACACACACACAGCGTTCGCTGATTTTCAGCCATGCTCTCATCTGAAACGTATGAATTCCATCGTTCGAGGATACATGATGGATACCTGAACAAAATAAATGCGGTTTGATGTGTCGCGCTTCCCATGAAACAGTAGTAGAATGAAAAAACAATGGGAGAGAAAACACATGTGAAACCCATGATTTTGTCTCAATACTTCTGGGCTTGTCTCTTAGTGCTTTTCTCCTCCCACCATCCATCTCCCACCATCCCACCTTCCACCTCCCACACCAGCTGCACCACTGGTGTGGTTCCAGTCTCTCGAACCACGCCACGAAGCACCTGGAGAAGTTCGGCGCTAGTCAAAACTGCCTGAGAATTGCCTGAGAATAGAATGGGGAGTCATACTCCACAAATCAATCAAAAAGAATCAAAAAAAACACCTGAGAATCCGGGCCCTCAAATGGAAAGGGCTTTGAGGGTCCGGACCTGCTATGGAGGGTCCAACCCCCGGAGAGCCCAAGGATTAGTTTGTGTCCTAAATTCAGGGCCGTCAACTACAGGCTTGCTATCCAGAGACATCCAGAAACATAACAGTAGCATATGCGTTTAACATGTTCAGGTATCTAAATGACACATGTATGTTTATGGGGTATCTACCTCTGAAGATAGACTAGACAGAAAAGACTTCACGCATCGACTCGCTTAATTACTTCAGAATGGACTGAAAGTAGAACTTCATGGTGAAGAAAGAAGCTGAACACAGTCGACCGGGAGGATCTGCATCAAAAAAAACCCACCAACGGGCACCCGGTGATGCTACTGGTGTTCGGACCAAGTTGTTCAGGTGTTCGGATCCTCACTCTGCACCCAAACAGGCTCTTCCCCCGGTCCTGGCCTGCTTCAAGCTCGGCCTGGAGGGGCCAGGAGCCGGAGCTCCAAGCTGAAACCCTGGAGTTCCTGTGACCTCCAAGCACCTACCTTCGGTAGTTCGTGACCTCCCAACACCCATAGCACCGAAGCGAAACAGCCCCCCCCAGGTCTCGAAATGGAGAGCCTCAGGTCTAGCGGAAGGGACTCGGAATGCAGCACCACACCGCGAAGGCAAACATGCAGGCAGCGCAGGCAGTGCTTGGTCTCTTCAGTTTCTGCATCAAGCCACTGCCCATCATACAAAATGGGGATGAAAGAGCTTCCAACATCTTCCAACAAATTGTCTGCGGCAGTCTTCGATGGTGCTGGAAGGTGTGGGAAATTGGGGCCTATCGGGCCACTAACATGCCACAACTGGACTTAGACATCTAATTCTACGTCTATGTCTATGTCCACATCATATACATCATACTGTATTCAGTAACATACATTTACAGTTACATTTGTAGACCTCCCGCTACCAGCCTCATCCTCCTTGCAAATAGGGCAACAACACATCATGGCAAGACCTGGACCTGATGGAACATCCAGCGGGTCCATGTGCCCTGTGCCTCGTGCGACTGGCGCTCGCATGCACCTGGCGTGAAGATCGAAGTGATTTAGATAGACCACCCATGTGGAGCTAGAAAAGTAGATCCCAAGTATTGATACGTATTGAACACCGTTTCATAGCGTGTCTATCGATTTGGGGATCACTATGATTAAAGTGGATGGACAAGCTCCCAACAGGTTGTCTATATTTAGTTAAAACATGTACCATCGAACCTCTGAAACCATTGTAAATCCCAGTCGTGGATGATCAACAGCTCACCTGGTCCAAAGTGAGGCCTTGAGCTCGCGGCATCACTCGCATCACGGATGTTGCTTCCCAACATCTACGACTTTGAAGACCACACGACCAAATACCCTATCAAGAGGGAGGAAAAGATCATCGGAAACCATCGATGAACACCAAATCTCCAGGTGAAAAAAATCATCCGCGTGGCCCCCAACCTATCTGGAGCCTGACAACATACCTCAAACAATTCTCACTCCCAGTCCATACCAGTCCGGACCATTCCTGGAATGATGGTCACATACCTACAGAGGTTAAGTGACCTTATAGGACCCTACAGGGGTACCTATAGGATAGTCTATAGGGTTCTTCAACCTCTGCTCACCTTCCTCACATCTCTGCTCCAGCTGAGTCACATGCGCACCTGGCGCCGTCCTCTCTTCGGCCTTTCCGGCTCCGCGCGAGCTCCGGCGCGAAGCCGTCGCCTCGGTCGTGGGTCACGTGTGACGTTCTAAGGATGACGAGGTTTCGAAAGAAGTCAGAGTGGATGGTTGGGATATGTTGTTGCTTTTTTCTCCCTACTTCAGCTATATAAACAGAAGTCTGGATTTTAGATGGCGGGTCCAGCCACTGTCCTGGGCTACAACATTGATGTTCCTCCACAAGCTTTAGTTCTCTTGGAAGGACACGTGTAGGTACTGCCCCAAGCGGCACAAGATGTGATGAACACGGAAGAAAGCAGCAGGTTCGCTTAACTCATCTTCATTCAATATCATTGCGAATAGTTATGATGTTGAGGTGACAATTCAACAAAAAGCGTATCAACATGAGTGCATCTGATATTAGAATCTGCTGCAGGGATGTAGCAATCTAGCTCCCTGGCATCGGAAGCTGGAATTTAAGGGAGGCCCCGTAGGACCCACCAACCCTCAGAATCCACCACCGTCAGACTCACTCACTCACTCACTCTCCAACATGATCTAACCACATCCACCATCACCCAAAACCCAAACTCACCAACTTTCCCCAACGGTTCCGTTGGTGTCCCATCCTGGCCCGGACGCCAACCGCACGCCACCCGCAGGCCCGGACGACTCCATAGGACCGACGGAGCCTGAGCCGCCCGAAGCACCGGTTGTGTGTTTGGGGTGGCGTTCGTGACGTTAGGAGCCTCAGAAGGCCCTGAAGAGGTTAGGGTGTTTGGTGGCCAAGGCTTGATAAAACACATTACCTTGCTAACTTGATAGCCATGCGCCTCCTCCGGTTTTGGATGAAATGATGAAACCAACGGCCGCTGCTCGCGGAATGATTGTCATAAAAGGCTCCCAAAGGAGCAGGCCTCTGCAAAGATCACACCAAGCTCTTCCGGTGACCTCAGATTTTCCTCAAGCTTTCTTGGATCCAAAGCCAGTGAATGAACTGATATGATGTTCAAGCTTTATCCTAAGCGGACCATAATGCAGTCTCATTTGAGTTGTCTGGCACATAGCCAGTGCGATTAAAAACAAACACAACTATAAGAAGACCTATAAGTAACAGGCATCCGGAGGCTTAGGACTTGGGCAGCTGTGCAGTTGTGCAAGCCTTCAATCTCATCGTCAAAGAACAAATATAAACAGGCCGCAGTCCGTATTGAACATCGATATGCAAGAAATTCGCATGACCCCGCGTCAGGGTGAGTTCAATGACTTTCCACGATTCGAAGCAATTGCAAGCAAGTCGCCAGTAACACAAGAAGCAGGGCTAGAAATGGCGCGCACGCAGCACTTCCAGTCTGAGGCACAGGGGCTAATTCACTCCAAACGGCAAGTTGTCTCCATCCTCTCTACGGAGCACCGCAAAAAAACTATGAACTCTTCGGAGATCTGGGCAGGAGTTTCAGTACTCTGGCCATGCCCCAAGAGACTTTGATGCCCAACAAGGCATCCCTGGCGCTCCACAGGTGGCAGCTCCGGTCGGACCGTTTCCCGTGCCTTTGTGGAAGCGCCGGGCGCCGCCATTGCGAGGTACGAACCACCCAGCCGACTTTGGGCCGGGTCAAATCGATGAACACGATGAGCGCCGACTTGGTCGCAATATGTCACGACTGAGTTGACATGGCCGTCCATACGTCACGACGAGTGTCACGAGTGTCCCCTTTCTCCATCGACTTGGCCGACTTGGCCGGGTTGGAAAGCAGCCAAAAGGGTGCAACCGGCGCAACCTCTTCCAATCCAGCTTGTGACTGGAAGCACTTGGTGACTCCAGGGCTTGCCGTTCTGCCGGTGACCCGACCAATTCAACTATAACTCCCTTGAACTCACATGGAAGCCCTGCAAGGGATGACCATTTTCCGAATACCAAACAGAGGGTGAACTCCAGTTCCATGCTAGTTCCAGGGAGTGTAAATTTACTCCTGTCCCAATGCTTAATATCTCAAACCTAGACTTCAGACTTCATGACGAACAGGGAACCGCGCGCCTGGCCGGTGTTTTTCACATGGTTAAGGTTGGATGAATCGTTTGGGCCATCCCCTGTTTGTAAACAAAAATTGTCTTTCCGGTGGTGTATTTTCCCACTTGCATGATTGTTTCACGGAGGGTATTCCCTTTGGACACATGATTCCCATGCTATGCCTTGATAAGCCTTTGGCAGGTTCCCTCAACGCCGATTCTCACACGCGTTCCTTTCGGCCGTTTCTCACACATCCGGATGGCACCTGCGTCGGCCAGCCTGAAGCGCCAGCTGGAAGTCTCTCATGGGGTGGGAGAGGTCCAAGAGCAGGCCAGCCCTTTCTCCAGGTGCTTGAAATCCAAACCACTGAGGACAAGCCTGCAAAAACATGCAAAAACTTACACTCCCTGGAACTAACATGGAAGTGGAGAATGGCCCCGAAAGGAAGACCATTTTCCACTTCCATGTTAGTTCCAGGGGGAGTATGTTTTCACAGCGTCTGGGGGATGGCTGGCAAGGACGGATCGATCCGTCACATCTTCGATTCCACGACCTCTCCGCTGCAAAAATCAGGCCTATCAAAGTGGGCGGGTCTGTTTTCATCGTAGAAGCGGGCACAAAGCTAGCAGCTAGAAGTGGAGAACCCCCGTGGTGTGGAAAGGGAATTGGTTCCGGGGGCGAGTGATCTGCGGTGGCTGCACCTCCCCTCCCGCTCCACTCCAATCGAATCCGCCAGTTTGGCAGAACCCTAAGGGGCTCACAGGCCCGAGCTTGCAGTGTTTGTCCTGGCAAGCAAGGAACAACCCATCCCCAGCACCCCTGGACGTTTTGGATGTTTCTCGTGGCACATCTCGAAGAAAATAACCTATTGGAAGTTGCAGGTTGGATTGTTTACAAGTCTACGACCAAAGGTCCGCGCCTCTCATTCGTGACGTAGTCATGTTCATCGAATCACCGAGCATGGGGTAAATGCACTACCACCGTCCACGCGCGGCGCTTCTCCAACTTATGTGGTATCCAAGGAATCCAAGAGACGAAAGGACCGAATCTGAGGAACAAACGAGTCAAGTATGACAGAAAGAACTCACACAGCTGCATAATCCAAGCCAGCTGCACAAGGTCTGCGTCGCAGTTCCCACACTCGGCCTAAAAAGAAGCGATTGCACTTCTGTCAAAACAAGTGGTGGGTCACCAACAAGAATGTGTATCCGGCAAGGCTATGTGCCTACAAGAAGGACAATGGTTGGAGCACTGTAACAAATGCAATTGGTTGCATCTCCCCCGGCAAAACATGGCAAAACAATAATTGAGTTGAGTTCATAAAATGAGGTACATCTATCCAAAATTATTCTGGTCCGTCTGGCACTTGAAAAACCTTGCTTTGGGGCAACAGCGGCTGTGCGTGCGTACGGCATCTAGCAAACAAATGTCGATCCTATTGTGCTTGCCCAATGAAAACGAGCAAATGGTTGTTGCAGGTGAAATCGATATGAGACTCATGGTTCCGGCACGAACATAGTTGAACGAGAAAGTAGTTCAACTATATGACTTATATGACAAATCATAGCAGGAATTCTGTGGTCATATACAAGTCCGCAACAAAGGAGAACCCTTGGTATAAGAGGTCCTCAAGTAAGCATGTCTCAGCGCAATGACTGCCCCTCATCGAAGCCATTTTGCTCCTCTGCCGTTGCCATTCTCGTGCCGCGTCGCTCGTGCCAAAGGCGGTCCAACTGTGTTTGGGCAGCGCTGCCCAAAGCCTCGTTCTTCAGTGGCCCGCCACTCAGTGGCCCACCGTTACTCTTCACCATTAGTACTAATGGGAACACACCATTCGCTCCGAGAGAGATATCCATAGCTGAAGTCACCGCATCTAAATGCCATGCTTCTGGAGGATGTGAGTTCAAGAGGCTTTGCTCTTGTGCCCTGCTCTCGCTCGCAACGCGTTCTCGCGAATTGAAGGAGGTGTTTTCGACCATGTTCTGTTTAAATCCACGACGCTGCATGATGCACTGTTGGCCAAGAATCCAGCCCCGGGCAGTTACAAAGAATGGTGGTTTCAGCCATGGAATAGCTACCAATATGGCGAAGATGGAGCCTTTCAGTCATGCAAAGTGCCGCTGCAATTTTGTGAGCAATAGAAGTCTCAAAGACTGTCTCAAAGTTATTTAGCCTTCTTGGATTGCCCCAACAGGCTGACTCCCTCAGCTTGGAAAATCAAGCTTAACAGGTCGACATCATTTTTCCACCAGTTCTTTGCAAAACATGGCAAAACCAATGAAGTGGTGCTCAGATGTGCCCAGGTCTGGAAACCGGCCAAAGGCAAATCCTGCGCGGTGAGTCCGTCCTCACCGGAACTCTTTGAGAACACGCTGAGCATCGAAAAGGATCTCCTTCCACCAGGCCTTCCAAACAGGGCGAGCTCGCCGCCAGTATTGACCAAAGCAGTGTTGAAGCAGGTGGTCAAAGGTAAAGTGAAACAAGGCTAGACTAAAAAAGGGTGGGCAAAACATGTAAAAGGAAAAGAAGTTCGACGTACACCGGGTCATCACTCAAGGTACCTTTATATAGAAGAGTTTTTGGTCATATTTCAGGATGACATCAACACGTGAAACAAGACCTCGAAGGCTCCATGTTGAATGTATTTGTCTCTTTTGAAAGCCGTCTCCTTGCAGTCTTTGTGCAATCTCACACGACGAAAAGATTGTGCTTTTGGCATGCTTTTAGCATGTTTACATGCCATAAGTCGTTTAGCTCGCCAGAACTTACCAAGCCTTCTTGTGCAAAGAATTGTAGGCCTTTGGTGAAAGAACAAGGCCGGAGGAAACGACGTCGAAATACATACGTTTAATATCTTTTAACGAATTGGATATAGCAGCGCAGCAGTATGATAAAAATAATGGGCATCTAATCTAAGAAAACAACACGTAGCAAAGCAGCACCATTGATGCACTGCATCAACAATTGTTCAGAACCTGGAAGCAAGGTTCTCATTGAAATCATTCAACCTATAATCATTCTCACATCTATCAGCACCACCCATGTTCTTTCTGCGATGCCCAATTTTCGGTACGAGGGGGCCATCCATCAACCCAAACTGAGGCCACCCAAACACCAGCCGAACTGGGTCCTTTCGGTCACTTCCGAGGCCTATCGGCGGGTGGCAGGCCTCGGCGGGCCCGAGCCCCGAGCACCCCCGCGAAGGCCTGGAGTCGTCGCCGGAAGACTGGGAAGAGGAAACCATCTCGGAGGCCTCGAGAGGGGCGCCGAGATGAAGGTGCAGGCGTTCACAGGACCGGGCCAGCCGGGCCAGCCGGGCTCTCTTCGGAGAGGTCGTGTCAAGGGTCCCAGAAAGAGACAACGACTGAAGCCACCCACTTCCACCGGAACAATTGTTGGACCACACCTTTTCGCAGGGTTAGGGGCCTATTCCTTTTCGAAGGGAGATCAACTCCGAGAGGGAAATTCGCAAATCCCTTTGCTGCCCATGGGAGATGAGTCACTTTGAACGATTTCTTGGATCTTCGACCTTCGAGAAGGGCCCTTGAGAGACCCTTGGAACCCATTTCTTTGGGTCGAGCTGGTCCATCACCAGGGGGCCTGCGAATTCCTGCGGGGTCTGACGGGGGTGTTTGGTGCGTGGACCCCCACTGGAAACTGCCAAAAGCTGCACCAAACAAAAGGATTCAAAAGGCAAGGTTGCTATAGTCACTGGCCTTGGCCTGGGTTATTATACCATATAATGAGATGTGTATATATATATATCAAATAGAAATATATGTGTATATATAGATACAGAGAGAGAGAGAGAGGAATAGCTATATCTTGATTATATAATTGATGATGTTATTTTGTGGCTTTTGTATAGCTATTATGTTAGCAGAAAGATATATACAGTACATAGTTTATCTTCCGATATTTCGCCCATGATCAGTTGACAGAGATGGCTTTTTCCCCTGGGCACTGACCAGAGTTCTTCCTTCCCGCCAGGAAGCTGAGCAATGAATGCCCAAGTCCTGGGTGTCGGCTCAGTGTCGGCTCTTCCAAGTGGGTTGAGAAAGCATTGGCATATTTACCTTCATTGGTGTGGTTGGAGCACATTGCATACATAAAGCACCTGGGAAATGCTGGAGTTTGTGTATGTTCCTGCCCGCTGCGGAACCAATCATGTGTCACAAAGCGCGACACATCAGTGGAATTTATGATGCTCCAAAGCCGAGCTGGGCCAACTGGTCGAATGCCCGCTTGTTGGTGTGGCAGTGAGGGTGCAGCGGGGTGGATGGTTTCTGCAAACGCACCTTCAACATCTTCCAGGGTTTGGGCAAAGCACGACACATCACTAGAATTGATGTTCAAAAGCCCATGGCCAACTGGTTTCAGCCTTCCAAATCTTCCATGTTTTGGGGGATCTATGATCTATGCCCCTTCAAGCTCATGAACTCTGGATGTCCCGATCTCTGCCGCTCGGCACGGCATTTTTCCACTCGGCCATGCATCGCTCAAACCAGAAGCCTCAGGCTGGTCAATAAGAGAGGTCAACGTTCGAGTTTGAGGTCGAAACCGTTGGTCTCATGGACAGAACCCCAACAGTTTGCCTGGAGAAAAGGCTGTGAAGGTTATACAACCTTTGCCACCTGTTCTACTTGAGTGGGGAAACCGGTCCGCTGCGGCAGTAGACACTTCAAGTGGCCAAGACTTGTGGACCGACACTCCGAACACATCACATGGAAGTGGAAACCACCCTATTCCACGCCATCCACTTCCATGTTAATGAGGCGGAGGGTACTGTACCCAAACAAATCACTCGAAGCATGGCATGGCATGGCGTAGCATGGCGTAGCCCACGTTGGTCCTTGTCTCACTCGAGATCATGCCGAACGTGGGTCGACCGTGTGCTTTCAAAATCGTCTACACCCTGCCTTGCGTTCCATGGTTACGTGGGTGGCGCCTGGCCCCCTTTTTTTTCAAGGCTACTGAGGCTACTGTCTGTCCTTTACACGCAGGGAGCTTTCCACTTCCATGTGATGGCCGCCCAGTGCTTGGGCGCCCTCCAAGTGGCAAGCTTGGGCTTGGCCGCAGTGCTCGCATGAGGTGCATGGCGCTCCGGCGTCCCCTTGGTAGATCCGTTGAACGGACCGATCAGCAGATGGTGGTGCGGGGAGGGTGGCGGGATTCGTGCCAGCAGGCCCTGATCCTCGCCAAAGGCCCAGCCGAGCCCGAAGGCCTCTAGCTTTGGGTAGTGGTAGGGGGTCCGCCCCCCAACCGCCGACCACGTTCCACCCTTTTCGTGCAACCTCGCAGGCCTCTGGGCTTTTTTGGTTGCTCTTCTGCTTTTCCTCTTCCATGCAAAGCGCAACAACCACGACCACAACCACAACCACAACCACAACAACAACAACCAACAACCACCAACCACCAACCAACAACCAACAACCAACAACAACCACAACCACAACCACAACCACAACAACAACAACAACAACCACAACCACAACCACAATCAACAACAACAACAACAACAACAACAACAACAACAACAACAACAACA